AGGGGGTGGAAGAGGCAGTGATGCTCTTACCTGGGCTTCTAATTCCTTCTCATTCATATCCCGGTGTTTGACCACAAGCAGAGCATTTGTACCCGACTGGACACCAGCCTTGGCGCGGCGTTTACTGAGTCGGACTCTGCAGTAGGCAAATTGCAGGAAGAGGGTGAGGGGTGCACTTAGACACTGCCAGAGAGGTGGGTTCTGATGTGGGGCTCAACAGTGCTCACTCTGGATGAGGCACAGAGGACTGCATATATGGTGTACACACATAAGCGATCCACATTCATTCATATATGTTGACTTGTGAAGCCACCACATAAAGACCAGGAGCTGTTACATGTGCATGTCTGGCTTTTTTTTTTTTTTTTCCGGTCATGGGGCCTGAACTCTGGGCCTGGGCGCTGTCCCTCAGCTCTTCAGCTGAAAGCTAGCACTCTACCACTTGAGCCACAGCGCCACTTCCGGCTTTTTGCTTATGTGGTGAGGAATTGAACTCAGGGCTTCATGCATGCAAGGCAAGCGCTCTACCACTGAGCCACCTTCCCAGCCCCTGGATGTCTGGCTTTTGAGTAATAGGAATTTATGGCCCCAGTGGACCTTTTTACCCTCAATAGAACAAATGGCCATGGACTGAAGATGGGAGGTTGGTACCACCATATGGGTGTGGGCCCCCAGAACCCACTTTGTTGGAATAGAATCTGCAATGTTTATTTGGTCTGGGGGTTTGAACTGTCCCTGAGCTTTTGTGTTCAAGGCTAGCATTCTAGCACTTCAACTTCCAGTTTTCTGGTGGTTCACTGGAGATAGGTGTCTCATGGACTTTCCTGCCCAGGCTGGCTTTGATTCTCAGATCTCAGCCTCCTGAGTAGCTAGGATGACAGGTGTAACTCACCAGTGCCTAGCTTTTGATCTCTAAACAAGTTCAAGTCACACTTGCCAGCTTTTACACCAAGGGCCCCAATACAGCAGATAACTTTCAGCCCTCAGAGGAGTGTGGGTCACATTTTTAAAGTTGGGTATCCAGTGTTTTGCCTTAAAACACATCTAATTTTATATGTTGCCTGCATTAGTACGAGGGAAAGCAGGTATGCGCCCACACAAAAGTATTAAAGGTTTCTACGTTACCTGAAGATTTTCATCCTGGCCTCCCATTTAGCCAGGCCCAGCCCATGCTCATGAAATGCACACCAGCTGCTCTCACAGACACTGCAGCTAGACACCAGTAGCTCATACTTGTCATCCTAGCTACTTAAGAGGCTGAGATATGAGGATCACAGTTCAAAGCCAGCATGGGCAGAAAAGTGTGAGACTTTTCTCCAGTGAAGCACCAAAATCCCAGAAGTGGAGCTGTGGCTTAAGTGGAAGAGTACCAACCTTGAGCAAATAAAGCTAAGGGATAGCACCCAGACCCTGAATTCAAGCCCCAGGATTAACACACACATAACAGACATGGCAACTGCTGAGGAAGAGGTGACACCCAGGGTGGTTCTTCCCTGCCCTGGCCAGACTACGCACCAGCCCTGGGTCCTGAGAAGCCTGGGGCAGGCTGAGCGGAGAGCAGAGGAGAGTACCTGGTCTCCAGTTCGTTGTAATATACCCCATCGCCTTCCCGGAAGATGAAGAAGTAGTTCTCCTCGTAGCCCTTGCTGGCCTTGTTCTTCACGTTCCAATTATACTCGCGTGCTATCTTGTAGTCATACCTGTGGATGAGGCGCAGTTGGCTCAGGGGTCCCCAAGGAGGAAAACAGGATACTTCTCAGTCCTTACCACTCATTCCCACCCCACGCACACATCATCTGGAGCATAGTCCATCTCCTCCTCCTGGTCCCGCTTTCGCTTCTTCAGTGTCTCTTCCACAGGCAGAAAATAGGCCACAAACTGGTTCCCTTCCTCGTCCATCATGCCTCTGGTGGAGAAGGAGCACAGTGGTCAAGGGGGTGTGGGTAGAGGGGGAAGAAGGTGCAGGCCTGGGGAGGTGACAGGATCAGTGACCTGATCATGGCCTGAGACATCATCTCCAATGCGGCAGCACCACTCGTGTCCTTGGGGGCCGGATCAGAATCAAAGATGACCTGAGCGCAGGGGTTGATCCACATCTGGTGGAGTGAAGGCACTGGGGTTAGGCTGGAACTGGCAGGCAGGGGAGGCCATCACTCTGCCTCCTGCCCTGGGCCTGACTGACCTTAAAGTCGGGGAAGACAGGCATGACCTCCACTGGTGTCACTCGGGGCTTGCTGTAATGCTGGGAGATCTGCTGGGAGCAAAAGCAGTGAGGAAAAGCTCCCTCCATGCCTCCCTCTGCCTCCCCATCCTGGTTCCTCAAGTTACCGATTTCTGGGCATCCTCAAAAGTCTTCTCAATGGCTGTGATCTGGCTATCCCTGTCTTTATATATTTCTTCCTCTGTGAACTGTTGCTTCACGGAAACCCCAATCCTAAGAGTGAAGAGAAGGCACTAGGAAGTCTCTGGACACCCCTTAAACTCACCCCTCCTCCCTCCCTCCCCTCCCTGTCTGCAACTTACTTGACCTCAGGCTTCTCATTGGAGATGCCATAGCGATTGAACTCAGTGGAGATGTATTCTGTCTTACGCATCCATGGCACCACCTTGGCATGCTGCTGGGATCTGATGGGAATGCAGGCACCTCAGGACCCCGGTGCAGGATGCCCCCTTAACTGTAGAGCCCATCCAAGCCACACCCAGTGCCCACTGTTTCTCCCTTCACCTCTTTGAGCTGGTAGGAGCCTGGATCTCTTCCTCCAGAAGCTTCTCATCTGCTGGATCCAGGAGCACTAGATCGCAAGGGACAGGAGGACCATGAGGGAGGCCCAGACCTAGCCACTGCTGGCCTAAAGCAGAACCCCCTTCCCTGACCCCACACACCATTGGGGTCGATGCGGTAGGTGTCGGGGTTGATGAGGTCGATGGTGACCCCCAGGTCTGGCTCAGTCAGGAGGTCATGTTTGTGCTGTTTCTCCAAGGAAGTTGCCTTGTACTGGACAAACCTGAGTGGGCAAACATGGTCCTTGGGGTTTCCAAATTTCAGTACTACCTTTCATGCCCCTGCTTCCCAGAAGTTAAGCTTCTGTGGCATTAAGTATTCCCAGTGTTGGGAGCCTTAAGGCTGGTTCACAGTGGGAAGGGACTTGGAGGCTGCTTGCTCCATTCATCATTAGCCCAAGGAGAAAGCCCTCAAAGAGACAAGCAGTCCTTACCTTTAAAGCACTTCTTTAGGAGTTTCCCCATCCTTGACCTTACTCTCACCTGTTCTGGTCGAAGGGGTAGGTGATGAACTTGGGGTCAAAAGGGATGTCAGGAAGGCTATTGCAGTACTTGACTCGGCAGACCACTCCAGACCTAGGAAAACAGTGGCTCCAAACTAGACCCCGGGGCTGGGAAGGTGGCTCAGTGGTAGAGTGCTTGCCTTGCATGCATGAGGCCCTGGGTGTGATTCCTCAGCACCACATAAGCAGAAAAAGCCAGAAGTGGCGCTGTGGCTCAAGTGGTAGAGTGGTAGCCTTGAGCTGAAGAGCTGAGGGACAGTGCCCAGGCC